CTCATAATCAACTTGCCGATATCTTCACTAAACCTTTGGCAAGAGAACCGTTTTACAAGATTCGACGAGAACTTGGCATTCTTGATGAACACGACATATAAGGTGCTTTTTATACTTTTTATGCTTTCACATACTTGTTTTAACTTTGTTATATGTGAATATATATATATATATATATATATATATATATATATATATATATATATATATATATATATATATATATATATATATATATATATATATATATATATATATATATATATGTTAAGTGGTGTTTAAATTTAAGAAAAATATGTTTTTGGTCATTTTTTGTTGATGCAAATCGATTGCACAATAGTGTAAATCGATTGCTCATTGTATATATTATTTTTTGACCTTTCTGTTTTTAGTGAAAATCGATTGCACCATACTGCAAATCGATTTCACATTGTGCGTTTCAGCTTTCTTTTGATTATGTTTTGTGCGCAAATCGACTGCACCCACTGTAACATGCTTTTATGACAAAAATATTTTTTGGTCAGAATTCCTCTCTCTCTCTCATATTCTCAAGCTCACCTCTATTATTGAAAATTCAATTAAATTTCATTACATATAATACAACCCACTCATTTCTATTTACTCACAAATCATATGCAATTTCAACTCATCAAACATCTTCCTCTCAAAACCTAAAACCTTCCAAACCCTAAAAACACCTTACCCATGGCATCAAGGAAAAAATGAAAGGTGTCAGCAACAGATAAAGGAAAGAAGAAAGTTGCTTCATCTTCTACAGAGAATCCATTAATCTCCACTCTAACTGAAGATCAAGAAGCAAGATTTAAAAATGACTTTCAAAGAAATATAGTGTCCATTCTAAAATATGGTATGCTATCATATTTCCCTCAAGAATGTTTTACTTTTCAGAATGATTTGACTGCATATGGATTGGAACCACTGATTTCATCATTTGGTCCATACTATCCGGATCTGGTAAGAGTATTCTTCAGTAATTTGAATCCTCACAGAGGCAAGATGGTTACATATGTGTTGGGTACAAGAATCTCTCTAACCCCTGAGATTGTTGGTGAGATTCTACATATTCCCTATACTGGGAGCTCTTTGTACGATCCTGGAAATGAAGCACGGGATGATTACAGGAAGAAGGAATTTTATTACAACATTGGCAGATTGAGCGAAGCTGAATTCCGTGCTAAAAGAATTCGTGGTCTAGGAGGAGTCATTCCATCTAGAGACTAATGGAGTGCAGGTAACTTTTTTATAGACGATATACATTTCATTATTTCATGGTCTATATTATGTTTATGCGGGATGGAAACCACTGCACCGTGACTGATTTGGAAATGCAAGTGATCTATGCAAGGAAGAGAGGTATAAGCGTTAATTAGGCAAGGCTCATAATGGTTCACATGCTAAGGGTTGATGCAAAGTCAAAATTTCTACCATATGCTTATTTTGTTACATTAATTATGGAAGAATTTGGAGTTGATTTTGCTGGTTTTGAAAGAGTTGATATGGATCCAAATGTTCATAAGATCTCCATAAAAAATGTTGACTCGGGAATGGGAGTTCACTATAATACGGAAACAAAAACAATCACATACATTGGTGAAGATGTTATTGGTGAAGAAGGAAGCAATCAAGAGGAAGAATGTTGTGAAGATGTACCTCCTCCACCTACTTCTCCCTCTAGTCCAAGTAATCAAGATCTTATGGATTTTATGTCTCAACAATTTGCTTCCATGAATACCAACATCAACAACCAGTGGAGTACCATCAATGAATCCACGACTTCTCGGATTAATGATTTTCGCTCGGATGTGAACCAACAACTTTCCTACCTTTACTCTCACCTTCACATACCTCCATATGACCCTAATAATCCTACTGCATCTCCACCACATTACACAGAACCTCCTCTACAACAACAATTTCCCAATCAAGGATCCTGGTTCTATAACAACCGTGACATGAATCAACCATAAAGTTATGTCCAATTTTGTTATTTCTACTATTTTTCTATTATGTCCTTGTTCCGTTATGCTACGTTTTGTTTGTCGCTGTTCAGATTTCTTTGTAATTGTTATTTTACTATGACTATGTCTATGACTATTTTGGATGCATGATTAATTAAGTTTTTTTCAATGTTGTTTTATTATTATCCATTTTTATGCATCTTTCCCTTCTTTTTGATAATGTCAAAGGGGGAGAAGGATGTGGCACTTTATGCATGTATATTTCCTGTCTTAAATTTCTAAGGTACTCTTCCACCAAGATGAACAAATTCAAAGGATTCCAACCTTCTCATACAAAGGGAGAGTTATGCATCTTAGGGGGAGAAGTTTCTTTCCAGAAATTACAACGCATCAAGAAAGATCATTTGTCATCATCAAAAAGGGGGAGAATGTAAAATCAAGCTTCTCAAATGCACTTTTGTTTTGATGAAGACAAACCATTTTGACAAGAAGGAAAAGATTATTGATCAAGCTAAAAGCATTTGTGGATAAAGTCTTTGGTTCAAGAACTTAGAAAATTTCAAGGTATAATGATAATACTTACTTTGAACTTAAGACATAGATGCTCAATGGTCAAAAGAAAGATTTTATCTTGTCCTAACTTTTAATCAAGTTTTCTAAGCAAAAATTCAATTTTTACTTGGGTGAAATCAATTTTCATATTGGTGCAATCGATTGCATGCTTCGTGTTTTCAAAGCATTAGCTATTGTTTCTAAGTGCAATCAATTTGCATGTTTGTGCAATCGATTGCTCTCAATCAATTTTTTGCTACTAACTTCAAGTGCAATAGATTTACACACTTGTGCAATTGGTTTCTCACTAAAAATATTTGAATTTCTAACTATTGAAACCCCGTGCAATCGATTTACACAAGGGTGAAATCGATTGCATGCTGAACGATTTTGAAAAACAACAGCTTTACTCATGCCTATTCATAACACCATTTCATGGAAACCTTTCACTTAATCTTGGCAATTGTTCATGATTCATTTGCAGAATTATATGTTGCTTCAGAAGGCTTCTATGAACATATAAATACTCATTTTCAAAATCATTTTAAGTACCTCTTCCAATCATATTTTCTAAATTTTCAAAAATCAAACTCAAGCTTTTATACACTTTCATACACAAGTTTTCTACACACTTTCACATATTGTCAACCAGAAAACTTTGAGCATTATATATATTGAGTCATTGTATACTATTGTTATTGGAAGAGAAAATCAATTCATTAATAAAATCATTCAAAGTTAGCATTGCTACACAAACTCACTCAAATCAAATATTGTTATATACTTGCTTATTTTTCAGGATTGTTGAAAATAACTTCAAGTGGTTTTGTAATCTTGTTTTTATAGGATTGTTGGATACAAGTAAAGTCACTTTGAGAGGATTGTTCTCATTGTTGACATAGTGAAAATCCAAGAGGATCGTTCTTGGTCCAAGAGGATTGTTCTTGGTTTTGGGTAGTTCTTGTTTAAGTTTGCCACTATAAGGAAATATCTTTCATGTCAAAAGGGGACTAGAGTACTCTCGGACTGTGAGGGGAACCAGGATATATCGCTTGTGTCTCTTTATTTTTCTGTACTTTACTGTTTCATAAACTCACTATAAACTAGAAAAATAATATCCATCATCACTAAAACCAGAAATATTTTAAAGTACCTAACTCACCCCCCCCCCCCCCCCCCCCCCCCCCCCTCTTACGCGCACTTCGTACTTACATATGCCACTCGTTATGATCATGAAGAAGGGTTTTTGGAGGATAATAGCAAGTAACAAATAACATTTGGATTTTATCTGTGTTTTGTTAGATCTATACAATGAAGTAGTGAAATTGTTTCCTAATCCGTGCAATCGCATTTGTTGTATTCCGCTTATATACAAATTGACACTGCTTTTTGATGCTTTGTCACAATTTATTGTCTTATTTAAAAACACAAATTCAATTAATTTCTAATCCTACATAACAAGAAGTTTTGAATGACTGCACCTATTTTAACATAATATCTGATTGCATAGCTAAAAAGTGAGGAATGTAAAATCACATAATGCGAGTTATTTTGACATAATGTAGTAGCAATAGCAAAATCACATAATGCATGTTATTTAAATGTTTTTCTGTTTTTCTATCTAAACATGAATTATGGTTAAACCATTTAGCTCTTCTTCTCCCAAAATAAAGAAGACTAAAGGTATGACAACCCATACATATTTAATCTGGTATAGTGGTTTTATTTGGGAAATTTTTATTGATGTAAAAATTCTTGATTTATTTTATGGCTTAACCAATCACAAATAGCAACAGAAGGTCCAGTTGGTGATAATGTCCCTTTGTTCTTTTCAAAGTGTTGTGAGTTTTATTTCCATGGTTTTTCTCATATTTGTAAAACTTTTATGCTGGTTTTGTTTCAATTTTCATTGCAAAGTATAAACACATTGAATACTCAAATGAGATTATGCTATTTAGGTTGTATTAGGTGATTTAGGTCACTAGTTAATGAATATTTCTTCTTGATTTTACCACAGCTTACTGTGTTTGGCATTACAATAAATAGGGAATGTAATTCGTTTGAGGATTAGAGCTTTAACTACAGTAGTTCTCATTTAACTTTGGACAAGTATAGGTATTATTTTGTTCAAACTCAACTATTGGATATATGGGCACACCTGCCGTAGAAAATAATAGTCATGCCTTGGGTGATTTTTCAATGCTAGTGTTGTTTTCCATTAGGTCAGATCTGGTAGTTCTGTTTAATTTGACTAAAGATTAGAAATGAATGAGAAATCTTGTGAAATGAGTTTTAACTTATCTTATCTTAGTTTACTGGTCTCTGTATTCAGTCCGTTTTCCTTATCTTAGTTTAAATGTTTTTCTGTTTTTCTCTCTAAACATGCACATGGCTAAATCATCAAGCTCTTTACAAAAAAGAAGATGAAAGGTTGAGGAGAAAAATCTACAAGACCATTTGGAGATTTTAATGGTCGATCCTCCAAAATTAGAACGATATGAGGCATGGTGGATGGCTTGGCAGAGGCCATCCAGAGTTTTTACATCTGAGGCAACAAACTTAATAGCTATTTTGGTTGTAAGAAATAAAAAATTCTTTATAATTTCTCAAATTCATTTATAATTTAGTATTCATTTTATATCATGTGTATATATATTTTAACATTTTAGGGTGACTTAGTGGAAAAGAGTACACGAAGTGATATTGGTTTTGAAGAACGTAAGGATATATTGATTGTTACGCTTGGAACAAATGAACTCCCTGGTCGGATCCACACTGCTCCTAGGGGTGTGGGCTTTAAGAAGTTCTTTGAAAAAATTTCACACTCCACCTTACGAGGTGTCTTAATCTTCTAGCCTTGGTGCAAAATCTAAATGTAGATTTCCAAGATAGATTACGGAAAGAGCTCCAACAACAAAAAATTGAGTTCCAACAAAAAATGAAAATAGACATGGAAGATGAGAGAGCCAATGTCCAAAAAGAAATAAAAATCCTTCGAGAGATGCAATTGGAGCTCCGTCCTAAGAGTACTAAAGAGATGTTCTCCAAAGCGGTACCTCATGTTTCATAATTAACTATTTCTTGCTCTTTGTTCAGTCCCCTTTCTTTTTCTTTTGGAACAAATGGGAAACTTACTTGTTTTCTAGTTTTATCTTGTTATGTTTATGTTTATATTGAATTTTATTCCCTGTATTAGCACTTTTTCAAGGTGTTTGGGTCGTTTTAAAAATATGCTTATGCTTATAATCTTGTTATGTATTTGTTTTGCAAAAAGATAAACAAGTAATGGTTTAAAAGTTATATTGCAAGTAAGAGAGTATGTGTTTGAACATTGTTGCTGGTAAATTGAATTGTCTTCCCTATATTAGCACTTATGCAGGGTGTTTGTCTTGATTTGAAATATGTTTATGATCTGGATTCATTCTGGATTTTGAAAATATGATGTTAGATAAATCAAATTGAATTCTAATTGTTTGATGTTCATGATGTTAGTGGTTTAATTAAAAGTTTTATACTGTTTAACTTAGATTATATCATCTCCAGGTGTAGCATTCGTTATGATATGTTAATTACACAATATCTTTAACTTGTTAATTAAAGAGTTATTGTTTGTTCCATGTTTAGTCCCCCTTATTTTTCATTTCGGCCAAAAGAGCGAAAATTAGCTTGTTTTATATTTAAATTTTCATTTTTATTTTTGTCTTAATTTTCATATCCAAGTGTCTTACTGTTGTACCCCAAAATTTTTCCTCTCGTGTTTCCCAAGGTTTTTTCTATTATATGGGTGGTTACAAACACTTTCCTAAAGAAAATGAAATTTTTGAATGTTAGCAAAGTGTCTTTCGATTGGCAGTTTCACAACATCCTTCAATTGGTATTTAAACAGTGTCCTTCAATTGGCATAACAACAAGCTTCGACTGGGCTCCTAAAACCCTTCGACCAAGCATTGGCCCACAAGCTTCAATTGGGTGTTGAATCTCCTTCGATCAAGCTTAGTTCATAAAGCTTCCACTGGGAAAAGGCCCCTTCAACTTGTCATCAGCACATGTATGCCTCTTCATGCTTGTCTTTGGTCTACTAGGCAAAAACTTCCTCATGCTTGCCTTGGTTTCATAAGGCAAAGACCCACCAACTTGCCTTTGATCTACAAGGCAAAAGGCCCCTTTTAATGGTCTTCGATTCACAAGACAAAGGGTTGCCTCATACATGCTTCGATTCATAAGGCAAATGATCCTTTTCAGCTTGCCTTCAGCATACAAGGCCAAGACTTCTTCAAATTTGCCTTCAATCCACTAGGAAAAAAGCTTCCTTCGACCCACAAGGAAAATACCTCCTCCATGCCTGATTCGATTAACTAGGAAATGGCCTCTTTTATGCTTGCTTTGACCTTCCTCATGCTAGCGCCCACAGGGCATTGGCTGCCTTTGTGCCAACTTCGACTGGGAAATGGTCCCCTTTGAAACAGTTTGTATACTTCAACACGCATATTAGTCCTTGTGAAGGCGCATTCATGATGTCCCTTTGAAGGAGCAATCATTGGTCCATTCGAAGGACACATGGTTACTGAATATAAGATTTTCTTATGATGGGTCTTGGTCCTACATGTGGGCAGGCCCGGGCCTCTTGTGGAATGGCATTTGAAGGAGGTGACAAAGGAGGCTTCGATTGGCCAAAATGAATTTTTAGTTTGGGTTATTTGAATCAAGCAGCTAAGGCAAAAAGATGAGTCTCAATTGAAGGATCTATAAGGATATACCTGTGGTCCATTCGAAGGAGATAACTCTAGTCCAATCAAAGAGCAATGCTGGAGAGAATTCAAAAGAGCCAAATATGTCCAGGTTCATAGCAAATTCAAAAAGGGACAAGAAACCATGTCTTTGGCAAAGTTTCAAAGTGATATTCATGGCCTTTAAAACACCAACTTAATGGATGTTTATTCCTTTGTCCCCTTGTCCCCTCCATCCCCACTATATAAGGAGACTATATGCATACACACACACACACACTAGAGACATAAGCCCAGGGAACCATACACACATATTGTTTTACACGCATACACAGCCTAAGAGAAGCACACCAAAAACTCTCAAAACTCAACAAGATCACACCACACTTGTTCTCTCTCCTTTCAAATCCAAGAGAATCCAGCAACTCTAGTCCCCCACACAAGTTCCAATTTTAAGCAAGGTAAGTCCCCTTGACCTTGCATCTTTCGTTTCAGCATGACATGTAAATAGCTCTTTACTTACTTTTCGTTTCAGCATAATATGTAGATAGCCTCTTAGTTATGTTCTTCATTTCTTCCCTCTTGGTTTGTTTGCTTTTCTTGTCCGTATATATGTTGGAACTAACATGTACATAATCAAACTAAAGACAAAAAGAGTGTGAACGAAGGATATACACCCATGCTGCTCTACAGGTCTATGTTACGTCATAGTCTAAATCTAAAGAAGCAGAGGAGTTTACAGTCAAAGTTTTCTCATGCCCACTCCCTGGATCAATCGAAATAAGTAGAGAAGGTTGCAATCAAAGGTTTCCCATACCATTCCCAAACTCAGTCGAAGGAGGCAGGAAAAGGTGCAAATCAAAGCTTGCTCACGTCAACTCTCAAGCCCAATCGAAAGAAGGCAAAAGAAGGGTGAATTGAAGGAGCCCATGGCCTGGATCGAAGAATTCATTTCTCTTCTTTATTTTGTTCTTTGTTTTTTTTACAGTTTTCTTGTCTTTCTATTTGGTTGTAATAGTGTAGGACCCTTACTTTCTGCATTTTTACTGCTTTTCATATTAATTGTTAGATGTATGACTAATAGGATTGTATGGCAAAGACTAAAATCAAACGCTGGCAAACCTAACAAAAATACAAAAGTAACTTAAACATAACACACATACACATATACACCTCTAGGGTATCCCACTTTAGTTTCCTTCGGAAAAATAGTCATGTCCCTCGAAACGGGGACACTTTAGCAAAGACCCGTAAAACAAAAGATCATAGTCCCTCGATGACCCTACAGTTTCCTTTCGGTAAATGATCTAGTCCCTAAACAAAATTGCTAAAGCGTCTCCATATGTTGCCTTTATGACTGTACATCCCTTTCGAATGACCCTCAAACATCCAACGATAGGGCTACCTACTCACTAATAGTAGGATAGCTCTGTCTAAAGGATAGGAGGAAAACAACAGACCTTTTCGAGTACAAGTAGATAGCTGTTAGATGCTTGCTCAAAACAAAAAATTTCACACTTACACATTTCAAAAACAACTTTCAAAAACATTTGCTTTGTCAACACTCTTGAGGACTGATACAAGAGTTATCACAAAGCGAATCGCCGTACTAAGGCATTTCAAAATACTTTTTCAAGAACACAAAGCACAAGTTACTTTCAAAATGAGCTAAGCATCTAAGAGCCCGTAGATAACTACGGATGGAAAGGGTGCTAACACCTTCCCTTTTCATAATCTACCCCCCTTACTCAGAAAATTCTCGAAAAGGTTTTTTTTTTATTCTCTTCACCCTTTCCTTAATTTGGATAAAAGAAAAGTCGGTGGTGACTCTTGCTTACCGTAACATTTGCAAACATAAATGCAAAACCAGTATTAACCATCGGTTCTGCCACCGTATCACACTTAGATTATTTTCATATCTCAAGAACATGCATATAGCTCACACGACATTATATAGGCCAACAAAACAATGGCTTTGCTTGGCGTTGTAAAAATAATAGCTTACATTTACTTTTTACTTTTTTACAGAATGTGCAAGTTGTGTGTACGAGCAGTAATGGAAGTTACTCTAAGGTAGTGAATGTTTAAGATGTAATAAAAAACACTAGTGTTTCTTAAGATTACCTGAAAAAGATTGGAGATCTCAAGGAAGATTCCTTTTCACTAGATGTGATTCATGAAACAAGTGAATTATTAGTTTATATTGATAGGCGAGATCTTACTAGCTTAATTTATGGTATTAAATGGATCTCCAGATATATCTTGTCTTTATGATGCTCGTAAGTATTTTATTCTATTTTTTAATTATTTTTTTTATGTATAATTTATAAATTAGCATTTGTTTCAACAATTCAGATATCTACATGGCATTTGTATCTCTAAGAATGTCAGCGAACTATTTGGGTTTCTTGATCTAAATAGGACACTACTTACCACTATAGGGTTTAGGGTTTGGGATCAAAATCTAATAGACCATCCAGAGATTTTAATGGTTGATCCTCCAAAACTAGAATGATATGAGGCATGGTTAATGGCTCGGCAGAGGCCATCCAAATATTTTACATCTGAAGCAACAAACTTAGTAGCTTTTATGGTTGTAAGTAATAAAAAATTCTTTATAAATTTGAATTTCATTTATAACTTAGTATTCATTTTATATCATGTGCATATGTATTTTAACATTTTAAGGGTGACTTAATGGAAAAGAGTACACAAGGTGATATTGTTTTTCAAGAACGTGAGGATATATTGACTGTTGCGCTTGGAACAAATGAACGCTCTGGACGGATCCACACTGCTCCTAGGGGTGTGGTCTTTAAGAAATTATTTGGAAAATTTTAACACTCCACCTTACGAGGTGTCACAACCTTCAACCTTGGTGCAAAAACTTAATGTAGATTTCCAAGATAGATTACAGAAAGAGCTCAAACAACAAAGAATAGAGATCCAACAACAAATGAAAATATATATGGAAGATAAAAGTGCCAAGTTCAAAAAATAAATAAAACTCCTCCGAGAGATGCAATTGGAGTTCCGTCCTAAGAGTACTAAAGATATGTTCTCAAAAGAGGTACCTCGTGTTTCATAATCAACTATTTCTTGCTCCTTGTTCAATCCCCTTTCTTTTTATTTTGGAACAAATGGGAAACTTACTTGAATTCTAGTTTTATCTTGTTATGTTTATGTTTATAATGAATTTTATTCCTTGTATTAGCACTTCTGCAGTGTGTTTGGGTTGTTTTAAAAATATGCTTAAGCTTATTATCATGTTATGTATTTGTTTTGCAAATAGATAAACAAGTTAGGGTTTCAAAGTTATACTACAAGTAAGAGAATATGTTTGAACATTGGTGCTGGTAAATTGAATTGTCTTCCTTGTATTAGCATTTTTGCAGGGTGTTTGTGTTGATTTGAAAATATGTTTATAATCTGTATTCATTTTAGATTTTGAAAATATGATGTTAGATAAATCAAATTAAATTCTAATTGTTTGATGTTCATGATGTTAGTTGTTTAATTGATGGGTTTTATACTATTAAACTTGGACTATATCATCTTCAGGTGTAGCATTCATTATGATGTGTTAATTACACATTATCTTTAACTTGTTAATTAAAGAGTTATTGCTTTCTTAATGTTCAGTCCCCCTTTTTTTATTTCGGCCAAAAAGGGGTTAGCTTGTTTTACATTTGAATATGCATTTATTATTTTGTCTTAATTTTTATATACAAGTTCCTTACATTGTTTTCATATCTTAAGAATATACGTATAGATTGCACGTTATTACATAGGCCAACAAAACAATGGCTTTGTTTGGTGTTGTAGAAATAATAGCTTACATTTACTTTTTACTTTTTTACAAAATGTGCAAGTTGTGGGTACGAGCACTAATGGAAGTTGCTCTGAGGTTATGACTGTTGAAGATGTAATCCAAAACACCAGTGTTTCTTAATATTACCTGAAAAAGATTGAAGATCTCAAGGAAGATTCCTTCTCACTAGATGTGATTCATGATACAAGTGAATTATCAGCTTATATTGATAGGCGGGATCACACTGAATTAATTTATGGTATTAAATCGATCTCCACATCTATCTTATCTTTATGGTACTCGTAAGTATTTTATTATATTTTTTAATTATATTTTCTATGTATCATTTATAAATTAACATTTGTTTCAACAATTAAGATATCTACATGGCATTTGTATCTCTAATAATGTCAGTGAACTATTTGGGTTTCTTGATCCAAATAGGACACTACTTGCCACTAGAAGGTTTAGGGTTGAGGATCAAAATCTACAAGACCATTCGTAGATTTTAATGGTTGATCCTCCAAAACTAGAACAATATGAGGCATGTTTGATGGCTCGGCAGAGGCCATCCATAGATTTTACATCTGAGGCAACAAACTTAGTAGCTGTTATGGTTGTAAGTAATAAAAAAATATTTATAAATTTGAATTTCATTTATAATGTAGTATTCATTTTATATCATGTGTATATGTATTTTAGAATTTTAGGGTGACTTAGTGGAAAAGAGTACACAAGGTGATATTGTTTTTGAAGAACGTGAGGATATATTGATTGTTGCGCTTGGAACAAATGAATGCTCTGGTAGGATCCACACTACTCCTAGGGGTGTGGCCTTTAATAAGTTCTTTGGAAAAATTTCACACTCCACCTTACGAGGAATCACAACCTTCAAGCCTTGGTGCAAAAATTGAATGTAGATTTCCAAGATAGATTACAGAAAGAGATCAAACAATAAAGAATAGAGCTCCAACAACAAATGAAAAAAGAGATGGAAGATGAGAGAAATAATTTCCAAAAATAAATAAAACTCCTTCGAGTGATGCAACTGGAGCTTCATCCTAAGAGTACTAAAGAGATGTTCTCAAAAGAGGTACCTCGTGTTTCATAATCAGCTATTTCTTGCTCTTTCTTTAGTCTCCTTTCTTTTTGTTTTAGAACAAATGGGAAACTTACTTGCATTCTTGTTTAATCTTGTTATGTTTATGTTTATATTGAATTTTATTCCCTGTATTAGCACTTCTGCAGGGTGTTTGGGTTGTTTTGAAAATATGCTTATGCTTATTATCTTGTTTTGGATTTGTTTTTCAAATAGATAAACAAGTTAGGGTTTAAAAGCTGTAATTTTTTACTGCAAGTAAGATTGTATGTGTTTGAACATTGGTGCTGGTAAATTGAATTGTCTTTCCTCTATTAGCAGTTATGCAGGGTGTTTGTGTGTATTTGAAAATATGTTTATAATCTGGATTCATTCTGGATTTTGAAAATATGATGTTAGATAAATCAAATTGAATTTTAATTGTTTGATGTTCGTGATGTTAGTGGTTTAATTGATGGGTTTTGTATTGTTCAACCTTGGATTATATCATCTTCAAGTGTAGCATTCATTATAATATGTTAATTACACAGTATCTTTAACTTGTTAATTTAAGACCTATTGCTTGCTCCATGTTTAGTCCCCATTCTTTTTTATTTCAGCCAAAAGGGGGGAAATTAGCTTGTTTTACATTTGAATCTGCATTTATTATTTTGTAATAATTTTTATATGCAAGTTCCTTACATTGTTTTCATATCTCAAGAATATGCATATATCTCACACGTTATTACATAGGCCAACAAAATAATGGCTTTGTTTGGTGTTGTAGAAATAATAGCTTACATTTACTTTTTACGTTTTACAAAGTGTGTAAGTTGTGGATACGAGCACTGATGGAAGTTTCTCTAAGGCTGTGACTGTTGAAGATGTAATAAAAAACACTAGTGTTTCTGAAGATTACCTGAAAACGATTGGAGATCTTTAGGAAGATTCCTTCTCACTAGATGTGATTTATGAAACAAGTGACTTATCAGTTTATATTGATAGGCGGGATCTTACTGAATTAATTTCTGGTATTAAATGGATCTCCATATCTATCTTGTATTTATGGTGCTCGTAAGTATCTTATTCTATTTTTAATTATTTTTTCTATGTATCATTGATAAATTAACATTTGTTTCAACAATTCAGATATCTACATGGCATGTGTGTCTTTAAGAATGTCAGAGAACTGTTTGGGTTTCTTGATCCGAATAGGACACTACTTGCCACTAGAGAATCTGGTACTATTAAATCCTACATACAAAATAAGTTGGATGACGAGTTAAAAAATGTTACTTAGGACCATTGTTAAATCAGTAAGTACATGTTTCCTTCAATGTTTTATAATTTTTAATGTTATTTTGTAATATTTTAATTTAATAATTCTAACACTTTTGTTTTGAAACTACAGACATAACTGATAGTTGTATGTTATTTGTCCCCAAGATAATGATATCTTTTGGTTTTATTCATTAAAAACAAAACCCAAGAAAAGTATTAAGGTCGTACTTGGGGGGTAAGAAACCCAAATCAAGAGACATCATTTATACTTCATTTATGTACCTTTTAAATTTATATTTATAACTTATTTATGTTGCAATTTCTTTTATGAGAGTTGTAACAGGGTATCATTTATTAAGAGGTGTTGATAATAAGAAGCCTAATTGGAAGATTGTCAAGGTAATTGCTAGTTTTTCACAATCAAAATGAGAATGAATTCTTCGTGATCCTAGATTTTAGCTATATGGCTTGATTAAGGGGATTTAAACATAGAAGCTACATACCGAACTTTATTTTGCATACTTGATTTGCAATATTTTACCTCTGGTGTATAATTTTTTTCACAAGGGTGTCTAGGTTTTCATTTTGATGGGATCAGTTTGTAAAAAATACACTTATGCTTAAATCATCCACAAAAACTGCATACATCTTGAAAAGATAGATTGTTGATGTCTTTTAGTTTAATAATGAGATTAAAGTTTGCTCATATTGCTCTTGCAGCGTGCAAACTGCCTCTTTGATATGAAATTTTAGTTCAATTGTGATCAAGCTGAAACCTACCGACTTAATCTTATTCTTATTAGATTTTAATCAGAGAAAAATTAATCAGGGTATTTTTATCTTTGAAACTTCGCAAGTTTAACAACAGAAGATAATTTGAACCTTCCCATGTTTATATGTAAATGCAGATCTGATCTAGAATATGGATCATGTGATTTGAATTTAAATTGCTCTGGAAAATTACTTTAGTGGGTTAGTACATTAATTGCACCCATAGTGTTTTGCATATATGTAATAGCTTTGTACCTTATATGTAGGCACATCGGCAAGATAATAGACGCGTGTATGGATATTATGTGATGAAGAACATGTTTGATGTTGTTGATACTTCAATTGTTGAAAGATTCGATGAGGTAGTATAATTTAAAATATTTTCGTATTGCATGTATTTATTGAAAAATATGTAAATTATTGTTTTAATATGTAGATGTTTAATTTATTGTATGTTGAACTTATAGATATCTATAGACACATCACCTTATGAAAAAGAGACAATGGACCATATTCGGAAACTTTAGGCTCATAGTTTTTTGCAAATGGTTGAAAATCAAAAGTTTGAGGAGAAAAATCTACAAGACCAAATGCAAATGATTGAAGAGGATAAGGACGTAGAAATGTTGCCAAAACAAAAGTGAAAAAAGAAGAAGAAGAAAACTTATATATAAAGAAAGTGACATGAAATATTGGTTGAATATTTTGTTGTTAATATTGTGACTTCTTTGTACAAAAATATGAAAAATATTTTGGTTAATATGAAAAATATTATGACTTAGTACATGAAATATGATTTATATGTGTATGACTTTATAGTATTTGAAATATTATGACTTTTTAGTACATGAAATATAAAGTGATAACTAAAATAGGGTGTAATGTAGCAAATGAAATATGATGTAAATAGAATTAAATATAATATAATTTGTTCATTCATAAAGGTGTAAATTATATTTAAAAAATGTATAAATTAGCATGTATTTGCACCCGAGTTTTATTAAAAATGGGTGTAAATTAGCATGTATTTACACCCGATTTTTATTAAAATAGAGTGTAACTAAGAACGTATTTACACCCTATTTTTATTAAAATTGGAAGTAACTAAGAACGTATTTACACCCAATTTTTATTAAAACAGGGTGTAACTAAGAACGTATTTACACTTGATTTTTATTAAAATAGGGTGTAACTAAGAATGTATTTACACCCAACTTTTATTAAAATAGGGTGTAACTAAGAACGTATTTACACCCGATTTTTATTTAAAAAGGATATAACGTAGCATGTATTTACACCCGTTTTCTATTAAGAAGGGTGTAACATAACATGTATCTACATCCGTTTTTAAACATGTGTAAATTCGTTAGACATTTCTCACCCGATGAATATACACTCATTTTTTATTAAATTTAAATGGGTGAATTTAATTTAAAAAAATGGGTGTAAATTTACCTTTTGTACTAGTGGCAATTGGATTTAGACTATTCTTGAATTCTCTAAGACTTCTATTCCTTCAATGGGAAAGATCAAAGACTTATTCAACTGCGAGAGAGGTGTTAGGCAAAGGGGAGCCTCTTTCATCTCTTCTCTTTTGCATTGTTGATAAAGTTCTTAGCAAAAACATTTCTAATCTTGTTGACTAGAGGAAAGTAAAGATTATTCCCGTCCCCAGGGGTTTTGTGGTGCCTTCACACTGCTTGTATGTTGATGATGTAATGATATTCTACAGAGGTAACTAGAGTTCTATCAGAGCCCTCATCAATTTGTTTCAAATATACTCCTAAGCTCCATGTCAATTTTTTAATCATACAAAATCTCAATTATTTTCAGGCTCAATGAATGAACCAAGACTTCATCACATAACAATGTTGATTGGTTTCAAAATTGTACTTTTGCCTTTCTCTTACCTATGGGTTCCTATCTCCAAAGGTGTACCAAGGGAATCCTTCTTTAGAACTTTGGTTGATAAAATGAAAGCTAAAATGGCCAATTAGAAGTCATTTCTCCTCACTTTTGCTGGAAGAGTTCAACTAGTAAAATCAACAATTCAAGCCATGTTGACTCATAACTTCTCAGTATACTCTTGGAGACTTTGTCAGAACATGCTCCCATCTAATGACAACTTGCTCAAAAGAGGTTTCTTTGGCCCTCATGGTGTATTCTAACATGCATGAAGAAACAACTTCACATTTGTTTTTCCATTGTCCTTTTTCTTACCCCATTTGGCATTGGTTTCTCACCATGATCAAAGTCCCCAAGCCTTTTGATGCCAATGAAGCTCTCAAGATTTGGGACAAGAGCTGGAGCAAGCAATGCAAGGTTATCATGAAAATAACCATCGTTTATATCTTCAAGACCATTTGGATTTCCATAAACAACAAGAGATTCAAGCAATCTAACATGCACTAAAATCATGCTTTGAGTTTAATACAGTATGAGGTCTCCTTCATTTGTAACAACACGAGGAAAGCAACTAATTCATCCATTTGTGACTTTATCATAACAAAAAATTTTAAAGTCAGGTTGAATTCTCCAAAAGAACCTAAGATTGTTGAAGTCATTTGGATCCCTCTAGCTAGGGGATGGATAAAAAGCTAGGGGATGGATAAAATGCAACATTGATGGTTCCTTTTCTACCTGTTGTACCCCAAAATTTTCCCTCTCATTTCTCAAGATTTTCCTCACAAAGATCTCCCATGACACAAGTTTGTAGCATTGATACATCAATTTAGGTTTGGTTTGGCACAAGGGCAAAATGGTTAAAATGCACACTGAAAAGTCAAACTTTGACTTTTGGATCGAAATCACGTTTCAAGAATCCCATTTCATCAAGATATATTAGAATATGAAGTTGGTTCATCAATAAAATCAAAAGTCAAAATTACTTTGGAAAAGTAAAAGTTCTAAACACTTAGAAATTTTTCTAAGTGTTAAGAAATATGATAAATTCAGAACCTCTGGCCTGATTTTCATCATGATGCAAGATGATTCAAAAAGAACTTCTGACACAAGAGTTGTAGATCCCAATGAGATATGAAACATTACAGAACATAACTTCTCCTAGAAATGCTGGGATTTCAAGTTATAAATCCTTGAAGACACGTCCACGAAACTAAAACACTTAGTAAATTCTGAGCATTTCTAAGTCAAAATTTGATTAGAAGTTATGGGCTAGTTTTCACGTGGGTACTGTGATACGGTGGGAGAACTGACTATAGGTTTTGCGTTTGTTTTTGCAAATGTTTCGGTTGAGTAAGAGTCGCCACCGACTTTTTATTTTATCCTAAGGAAAGGTTTAAAAAGCACAGCAAAAACCTTTGAGATATTTCATGGGTTCGGGGAGTAGATTATAGAAAGGGAAGGTATTAGCACCCTTTCTATCCATGGTTATCCATGGGATCTTAGTTACTTGCTTAGATCAACTTGCCTTGATTTTCAATTGTTTGAAATAGTGCTTTGTGCGTGGTTTTGAAAATGTTTTGAAAAAAAGATGCCTTGTCTAGGCTACCCTTGTAACAATTCTTTACTCGAATGTTTTACAAAAGGTGTTTGTCTTTTTGAAAAGATGTTTCAAGGTTTTTGAAAGTTTGTTATGGAAGTGTTTGTGAAGTGTGGTTTGAAAATAGGCAAGTGTTTTGTTTTGCAAGTTGACAAGTACTTAAGAGCTATCTACCCTAAAGTTCTCAAATATTTTTGCTATGTTTTAACCCTTTTAACAATTTTGTTCCACCATTGCATTTGGTGGACAATCTTGTGTTAGGATGTGAAAGGGACAGGCGCGGGTCATCGTTTAGACCATGATTGCAATGGTGCCAAGTATCTTTGGGCAATTTTTCCTTTAAGGGACTTGATCATTTTTTAGGCAACTTTCGAAAGCGTCGTCGAGGGACTATGATCATTTGAATTGTGTTTGTTTTGCCCAAAGAGACCTAACATGCAATATGGCCCATTATTGAAGGCAACAAGTGGAATACCCTAGGGGTGCAAGTGTGATTAGTGTTGTCCATTTTCATGCTTGTTTATCTTGAATTTAGGTCAAACTATTTTTGTTAATTTATTTGCATACAAACCCTAATTCTATCATGGCATATTTAGAAAACTTTAAAGTGCAAAAAATAAAGTTCCTAAGTTATTACAACACAATATATGGGGAGGGGGTAGAAATGTTCAAATGGGGGGTATTTTGACAAGGAATTTAAACCTAGACTATTACATCAAATTGGGGAATTATACAAATTATTTAATATACAACAATATAATAAATATGTAAGATGCAAAAAAATGTTTTGTATATGTATGAAAAAAAGTGTTTTTTATATGTCAAATAAACAAAATAAAAAGTATTATTTTTTGGAGTTTTTTAGGTATTTAGGGAAAAACCTTAATTTTGCAAATAAAAGGTATTTGTTATTTAATATATACAATGTTTATTAATTATGTACAGAAATAAAATAAAAATGAAGTATATTTGTAAAAAAAAGGGTATTTTTAATATTAAATATTAATAAGAATAAAAATGAATATATTTTGTATTTTTGTCCTAAATATTCTAATAAATATATATGTATTTGTATTATTTACTAAATATATATTATATATACAAAATAATAATATTTAATATTTATAAAAAAAGTATATTTTATATAAAATATTTTCAGAAGATAAAATAAAATAAAAATTAGAAAATAAATGTATTTGCATTATTTTTTAGTATTTTTTAAATAAAAGTATATCTAGGTATTTATTTATGTACAAATGGTCATTTAAACAAATAAATGCATAATAAATACAAAAATGGTTTAAAAAATAATTTTTATATTTTTAATATTATGAGAAAAAATAAATAAGTCAGAACAAAAAAGAAAAGGTCAAAAAATCATGAAAATAAGCATAATGGGCCAAGGGGGTGTAAAAGTAACAAAAGGGTGCAAATAGAAATATGAAACAGAGCCCAGCCCAAAAGACCTTCTTCAACCTCCAGACTGTTTGAACATGAACAAAAACGCGCGTTTTCTATCTCCAGATTCCTGGACTTTCAAGCAAAACTCACAACATGAAAAATGTAGAGCATTAAGAGACGAATCCAGACATATAAAGAACTTGACTTAACTCTCTAAGATGAGAGAGAATTTCTCCATCCCTAATTCTTGACCTAAGTTTCCATCAATGTTCAGACCTTAAATTCTCATAGCACATGCAAAATAAATGGAAAGTAAAGATATGTACAGCTTCAGGGGCATGAGTAGAACATTTTTCATTCACAAACCTAGAGCTAACAATGCCTGGATAGGGAGATAGAAGTCCATGAACTTACCTGTTCAGCTTGAATCGTATCTGGCAATGGAGGTACTTTCAGTGCAAGGTGATGATTGGAATAGCTTGCTTGAAGTTCAGGGATGCTTCTCCAACCTTTAGTTTGTTTTGAAACTAGCTGAAACGAGTTATAGAATTCCACCTGCAAAACAGAAAAATGAAAATGGTGATGTTGATTGTGAGTGTTACAGGTCGTGTTTGAGGTTTGGAA